TCAGACCGACGGTATCGTGCAAGTTCTCTCTGTGGAGGTGTTGTCATGTTATTTTCAGTCAGAAACGATCACGTAGTGTGTTGTTATCGTCTGGTATTAGCTAACAAAACAAAGTTACTCCCGGAGGCATCCATGTTGCTTTTCCGACTTGAAATTGGAACGCAGTTTACTCGGGTGTGACGTCATTCCCAGTTCCCACTTCTGAGGTAAATGGAACGCAGCATTAATCAACTGATTGGATAAAGTTCTGCAGTTATGTAAAATCCAGAATATAAGACGCAGTCTGAATGTGGAGGTCTCCCAGAGAGAGAAAAGATTTCAACTGTCCACCTGCGTGACGATTTCTATCGTGTTCCTTAAAGTCCACTACGCTCAGTTTGTGTGCAGCTGTGTCGCTCTTTTAGAACCAGCCGTTTGCTCTCCTTCTAGCTACAGTACAGGAGTCGAGCTCTCAGCATGCTACATGAAGTGCTGCTGGTTGATCGAGAGAACCAGTTCCCCTTCTGTGTGTGTTCACATCAGCACATACATGCCCAATACAACAATCCTTTGAAATGCTTTTTTAAAAAGGTGGGTGAGTAGAGGAAGAAAGATGTGGTTTAATTCTGTTCTGAAGGCAGGACGCGTTACATCCTGGAAATAATGCCGACACTGACCATTTTTTTGCGCTTGTTCCTCTCAGTTCGCTCCTTAATCCGCTCCTCTTCTTCTATCAATTCTTTTGCATGTTTATCAGCTTCCTGTGAATAAATCACAAACCTGTGAACTCAGGGTTTATACATCTCCAATTTCAGCCAACGGCAAAGAAGTTCAGAGAATACATTTCAAAACACAAAACAAGTCTGACATGTTTCCATTTTGAAGGTAAATATGATTCACTTCTCATATCATCCAGTGCACGAGTCCCTGACGCTCTTATATCACATTATAAACCACCACCAAGAATAAAAGTGGGCGGAGTCTTTGAGTTTCCTTTCCACCAAAGTAAAACTGAATTGTACTACCTCCTCCGTGAGTTGTCTTATTCTCGGATGTGGTTGTAACGTCCTGCTGGGGGAATATTGTGGACTCAGGCGATCATAATAGTCGTCGTCGTCGTCATCAGAATATATGACATCATCGTCAAAGTCTCCGCCAAAGTTCCTTAAAAAATCTAAACCTAGGAGATACAAAGAAAAACACACAAAAGAAGACTTCGTTCATTTTCTAATGTTGCTAAGATTTCAAGGGCATCAGCGAAAAAATTAGTTCCCAACCCGGGGTCACACTGGTTCCCAACCCGGGGTCACACTGGTTCCCAACCCGGGGTCACATTGGTTCCCAACCCGGGGTCACATTGGTTCCCAACCCGGGGTCACACTGGTTCCTAACCCGGGGTCACACTGGTTCCTAATCAGGGGTCACATTGGTTCCCAACCCGGGGTCACATTGGTTCCCAACCCGGGGTCACACTGGTTCCCAACCCGGGGTCACACTGGTTTTCCCTCCCAACACCTTTGCTTTGTAGAGAACAACCATTTATTCCAAACGCCATTCAATACAAATAACAGGTTAGTTCTTCCTCCCCCTCTTAACTCGGGTTAATGTGGTGTCAAAGTTTAACAGCTCAATAAAAAACAACACGCAGCAATAAGAGGTCAATTAAAGTGGAAGAAACCTGCCGTCTGCTGCATTACACACCCTGCATGACTCCTGTCCTGCTCTTAATCTCTGACAGTAAAACATCATAGGACTAACTTTTTATAGCTCGAAACTAACTTTGAGGCAGAGGAGAAAAGGGTGATATATTTTCTAGAGCTCGTCTGCTGCACAGCTGTAAGTGTGGAAGCCTTGAGCTTGAATAGAGAACTCCAGATTGTGTTGATACATCCTGACCTCCTTTGTACAACAAGACAATCTGGTAGTGCTTTCACACCTGCACAAAACTCCAGAAAACATCCTGAAATTTTCAGGGTGAGCTGCACGTGTGAACACAAACGGCCCCTTTTCTTGCTCTGACTTTATCTTGAATGTTTCTTTCCAAACCCCTGAGTACATTTTTCAGATTGAAGACGGGATTATCTGTTGTGGGAAAACAGCAGGAAATATTCAGGAAATTCACTGCTAGCTAGTAGGAGGTGGTGATGAGGTTGATATCCTGAGACCCCCACAGGACCGTGGACTGTATGCGCCTGTCTTATGCAATCTGTGTGATCGTAATGATCCCCATCGACAGAGATAGCAGTGAGGGAAATGTGTGAACAACCATCACAGGAAGATTCAAGGGCAGTCTGAAATTTAAGACATTTTCAGACATGCATGTGCGACAACTGTTAAGATCTGTCAACTTTCTAATCTAGGCAACCTGCTGGGGGTTGATGGGCAAAATGCAACACTGGGAAAACATGAGCATGTATAGGATGAAAGTAGAACTAATCAAGAAGGAGGCTAAATGTGTGTTACCACCTGTCAACCAGGTGTAGAAACGCAGTAAGGATTGTTTCACTGCTTTGAATCCAACAATACTGGGTGTTGTGTAATCTCCAGTTTCTTTAAAAATAACCTTCGACAGATCAGACGGATCAGAACGTTTCTTACCGAAGCCATTAGCGAAGACATCTAGGATGGAGCCCGTAGGATGACGTCCACTAATGAAATCAACCACAGTTTCCTGAGAAGAGGAGAACAAGGTGACTTAATATACATCCGTCAAAGTTTTCTGGCCATTGTCACCCTAATGCTTGTTGACTATGCTAACGTCTTACCTGGAGCCCAACCCTTCACTAGATTACCCCGACATTGAATTAATAATGAATGTGTTGCACAGAGACAAAGATGCAAACAAGATCCTCAATCCAGTGATTTACTGACAAGTGACGCATCGAGCCAACGTGCTCTTTCTCGAAATGTCTGAGTCAATAAATCCTTTAAATGGGAGTTCCTTTGAGTGCAGGTCTTGTTTGCTCCTTCATACCTTTTTTATTTTTTGATCCAGCACCCACTTGAGGATGTGCCGGTCTTTCATGAACAGAGACAAGACATCTATTATGCTTTGCCATTGGCTCGATGATTACTCCTCTTCCCTGTTAATGTTTTCTCCCCTAAAGAGAATTTATCTGAAATTTACTTAGTTGACTTTCATTGACAAACTTTGGTTTTCACAGCAGTAATGCACGCAACGCTGAGCAAGGCAACGAGATTGAGTGCGGTCAGATGTGGCCCCCTTAGGGAGGTTTCCTTCTGTCATTGCAAAATTTGCACATTTTAAGCGACTGCTGTGAATGAAAGTTTGTGAGCCATCAGGGCCCCACTTTTAGTCTGGGGGCCCCAAGCAGTCGCCTGTTGACAAGCATTGCCTCTGTATGCATGTGTGTGTGTGTGTGTGTGTGTGTCTCATTCTGCAGAGTGTAAAAGTGACTTCCTCTTTGGGATTAATAAAACACATCTTCTTCTTCTTCTAGGATATTTATAACGTATTTCCTGCCTGTCGTTAACATAACTATTTCATGACAATAATCCAACTTCATATCTTATAAGTGACCTTGAAATGTTGTCATGTTTCCAGAAACACATTCTAAACTGGAGAGACCTGTTAGACCACAATAACGACAACACGAGTCCCCGGAGCCTGCATCATACTCACGTGTGTGCGCATTAGTCTCGAGTTTTCTCGGATCCTGTTGACAGGAGGAGGAGTCCCACCTGTGAGGTAGTCAAAGGTAAAAGTCCAAACACGAAATGTTAGCTTATAAGGCACTAGCCACTTCTCTGTAAATGAAACTCAGCGACGAAGAAACTGTCAAGTGGCCTACAATAACAATCCCACCTCTCAAAACGGCTCTCCTTCTTGACATGGTGTTAACTTATCTCTCAGTCGTGCTTCCCGCGGTTGATTCGACGTTAAATATTTCTATCTTGATGTCCGGGGTAAGTTTTTCTGCACTCTTTCATGTGTGCTTATCTCTTTCCGCGTTTGAAACTGAAGTAGGAGTGTTTATGTGCCACGTTTTTAATGCATCGGCCTTTCTCCCGCCTCCCAGCCGCTCCACCAATCATGTGACGCGGTTGCCTTGTTTTGTTGGGGTGTGGAACTCCGATTGGATGTGGCGCCTGCCAATCGTGATAAAGTAGGCGGGATTAGACCGCAGCGTTCAGTCCAAAGGTGGCAAACCGGAAGGTTCATGAGTCATTTGGTAAAAGTTGGTGTGTTCATATTTTTACAGTCAAAGATGATGTTATGTAATCATATTTTCATCATATTTAATTTCTATATTAAGTTTAAGTTTTTACAAATTTAGTAGACTTTAAAAATGACTTGAAAATCTAATATCCATCTTTGTAAAAAAAAAGTGTCTGAATTTCTTGAGTTTTACATCGATTAAAACCCCCCAGTTATATATTATTTTATTTGTATTTATTTAAATGTATTTATATAAATTTGTATTGTGGTTTTTTGCTCAGTTTGGATGTTATATTTTATTTGTTTTGGTTTTTATATTTTTATTTTGTCATCTAAACATGCTGCCTGGAGTCCATGAGGTATTGGTATTACAGGTATTACAGGTATTACACCAATACATGAGATGTTGGTGTAAATTAGACATTTCCCTAATGCTGATGTGGTTGCACTAGCCCGAGTTTGCATATACAGACTGTGTATGCACAAACTATTTCTCTGGGGTTAGATCATATGCTGTAAATAATAATAACAATAATCTGGGTTAGACACATAGATGTATGGATGTACAAATGGTCTGTGGTAGGAAGTACCACTCTGCTTTATTTTTGAGACACTGTGGGGAAACCATAGACTGTATAAAGATTATTATTAACAGGAAAAAGGGAACTTCATGTGTTTCTTCATAGTAACTGCCAACATCGAGCACAGTATTCACAACATAAAACAATATATGACACCAGGTGACACTAACAGTGACTACGCGTTTTTATTTTTTGTAGTTCTACAATGTACGGAAAGTGATTACTCTGTCTAATAGACGATCTTTCCTGTTCAACGGTTCAAATCAAACACTCCTCATTTCCTAGCAACGGTCCTTAGATACGAGCTGGAGGAAGCGCGCTCGCTGTGGCGGACTGACAACAACACAACAACATGGAGCCTCTTCGGGTAATTTATACAACTTTAACTTTATTTCTGACGTGAAAGCTTTGGCATGTAGCATTTTTCATGTTGTCTTTCCTTACCGTGGCGCCTAACTGGCCCCGACTCGCCCGTTCAAAGCTTCTTTCAACCCGGACCGTGTAACAGCTAGGTGAGCTACTTACATGCTAACAGCACTGCTAAGTTTTTGCTCATTTATAAACACACCGAAATGATTAACCAGGTTCTTTTAAACTTCATGGTCAGACAAAATATTGCGTTTGTAATGCTGCTGATATAGAGGTGCTAACACGTTAGCAGATAAAAGGTAGATTAGACAGTTTAGCCACCAAGCTAACTGTAACCTGTTGCATGTCCATAATGTTTCGTTATGCCTGGAAACTATTCACATATATTCATATTAAAGACAACTGCATTCAAATCTCAACCTTATTCTGATTGTAATCGTTTTTATTTTATTTATTTATTTGTTAGGGACAGTGCATATTAATGAACAACTGTAAAAATGACAGATTATAGCAGAAGTGCTGGTTTCCATCTGTTGTCCCTCAGCAGGTAACAGAGGAAGACAAATTACAAATCAAATATAAATTACAAATAAAATATAAATACAAATTACAAATAAAATACAAATACAAATAAAATACAAATTACAAATAAAATACAAATTAAATACAAATTACAAACAAATATACAATACAAATTACAAATAAAATACAAATTACAAATAAAATACAAATAAAATACAAATACAAATAAAATACAAATTACAAATAAAATACAAATTAAATACAAATTACAAACAAATATACAATACAAATTACAAACAAATATACAATACAAATTACAAATAAAATACAAATTACAAATAAAATACAAATAAAATACAAATTATAAATAAAATACAAATTACAAATAAAATACAAATTACAAATAAAAGACAAATTAAATACAAATCAAAAACAAAGGCACAAGTGACACAAGACAATAATCGAGGTTAAAGGTTAAAGGTTAAAGGTGGTCACAGACTTGTTTGAGGTGTGTTTTGAAGGTTGCATATGTTTGTGAGTCTCTTATTGTGAGTGGGAGAATATTCTAATATTTAGTTCCTTTGACTGACAGAACAGTTTGAATGTAGTGCGTCTGTGTGGGGCCTCACAGTCTCCTCGGGCTGGGGCCCCTGCTGCCGATCCCACTGGCAGACTTCAGCTTTATAAAGTCCTTCAAAGGAGGAGGAGCAAGTCCGTGCAACATTTTATATATAAAACATGCATTTTTAAAATTTAGTAAATTATGTTTATCTAAAACAGTGCAATGGTGAAATGAAAATTGCACGTGAAGTCTGTTGATTTCTTTCTTTAATGACAAAACTGGAAGAAAAAACATCCAAATGCTAAACTTCTGCACGGTTACTGTGACATCAGCTTCAAGTTTAATCTAACAACTCGGATATCACTAATGCATTATCCTGCCACAGTGTAGACTGACTTGATGCATGTTAAAATACAGTTTAAGTGCATTTAAACCTAAAAAGATGATTTATCTGTGATTTCTGAAGATTAGATCTGCAGAGTCCATTTGCATCTTGAAGAAAAACCTAAAGACCCATCTCTTTCATGTACACCTACGACCTTAATGATGATGAGATTGATCATGACATTGATTTGATTTATTTCATACTTTAAGAAACGCATATTAATCCAACAAGTACAACCACAATAATACACAGACGCATGAAAATAACAACTCATCGATGACAACGATGACGATATTTAGGACGTTTTTGATGCTGATTAGATATCTCATGAGCAGCTGTTGATGTTGTTAACGTTAACTTAAAGAGAAAAAGAAACTGTGCTTTGCCTCTGGTCACTTCCTGTCAGCATCTGTGTGTACGATTGAACTTACCAGTAAAGCTTTTTGTTTTCACTTACTGATGTTGTTTCCTCCTCTCTAGATCCTTGCTGTGTTCTTAATCTCTGGTGTTATCAATTTACACAAACGCGTCTGCTAAATGGAATTGCAGAATTGTAGTTTTCTTAAGTTTTAGGTTTAAAAGAAGTCTGAAACAGCACAGAAGAACTGTAACAGTGAGTACATTTTGGTGATCTGCTTCACAGCAAAGGGGGGAGGCTTCTTCTCAGACGTCGGCAGATGAACTGGAAGCTCCAAGTCAAAGCCTTGCCAGTCCGGATCAGACGCAGCCCAGACTGGAAACGGATGGCCTGGAGCTTAGAGAGCCATGGAGGTGTGCTTTACAGCCAGGTAGGTGTAAAGTGATTATATTTACTCTCGTCTTCTTTGCTCAGCATGTTTTGTAAGTCAAATTTTTGTGATCACATTTCAAGTTTTTGATGATTCACCACATTTTGTCTCATGACAACAGGAGGTTCAAGGCAGGGATACTTTTCATTTTCATGCATTTAGTTTCTAGGATCTCTAAACCTGTTGAACGTTCATGTGAATAACCTCGAGTGTTTTCTTCTATCACCAGATTTTCAGGACAGTAACCTCTCTCCAGCTCTTCACCTGCTGCCTGCAGACTCTGGAGTGGAACACAACTTCACTGAATACTCTTTATTTCATCAAAGTGAGAATGAATTTGTTCCTCTAAGGTAATACACACTTTTGCTCTTTCTGTGTACATTATTAATATTATACTTTATATGAATGTTTAGAATGTAATCGCTTTGTGTTATGTTTATGTTTATTTTTTAAAGGGCATACCCTGACATTTCCATGGCGTCAGAGAGGTCACACTTCCCCCCGAATATCTTTAGTCAGGCTTCAGAGCGTGGCTCACTATCCCAGCACCCTTTGACCCAGGCAACCATCCTGTCTGAAGAAGGAGCCAGCAGCTGCTGCTCTCTTTCCCAGCACAGTTTGTCCCCAAGGAACAACAGCAAAGGGAAAGAAACTCTTCAAGCCCCACTGATGACTCCATCCGACAGACAGGGAGTATCGTCCAGTGATGACTCGTATTCCAAAAAGAAGGACTTTGAGATGCTTCCTAAGCTTTCTGACAAAAGAACAGGAGACGCTGATGAGGATGAGACTTTCTTTTTGAGTAAAGATGTTCCTGCCCAGCATCTCCTGGACCTCCTTCAGAAAGACTTTGGCATGCCGAGCAGCAGTAGTAGTGCTGTTTCCTCTGCCTCTGAGACCTCACTGAAGACCGCTGCATCTTTTGCAGAGCAGGTTAAAAGCACTGAAGTCTGCAAACCAGACCAAATCACAGCTAGGAGAGAGGGTCCTACTGGTGAAGTGTCTCTCCCACAGAGACAGAAACAACCACCTGAAAGAGATTTATACTCTACCCAATCACAAAGACTGTCATCCGAGGTCTGTAATATCACAATGGGGCATCGCAGCACTCAACCTGATGAGAGCAGTGAGATGTTACACAGAGAGCTGCTGAGCGAGGTAGAGAGGCGCAACAGCTGTGAAGCTGCGTCTAAAAGCAAACAGCAGAAAAGTCCTACACCACCGAGTGAGTCTTTCACACCGTATCCCCAAGAGAGGAATGAAGGAAAGCCGAGTGTGAGCAAAGCAAATGTGGGTGGCGGGCCATGGACAGGGCCATTTTCAACAGGTGTGGAACGGGGCCTCAGAGAGCATGACCTCTGGTCCTCGGGGAACCAAACAGGGATTGATGGGTCCTACCTGGGTTTCCTTCCTCAGTCTCAGTCCACTCCAGGAGTTCTTAAGGCCCCACCCAAATCCACCGTCAAGCTTAAAATAGGGCAACTTTCTGACATAGAATCCATTAAAGAGACCTCACATCAGTCGAGCACGGGGATGTCCTCACAGCCAGCTTTACCTCGGGCTGATGTTCACAATCCAGACACAGCAAATCAGAGACAAGAGGAGGTGACCTCAGCAGAGGTCCAGTCTCTCCCAAGTGTCAACTTTATGCAGAAAGTAGACGCTTGGAGGGCAAACCAGAGCTCAGGCAAGACGTCACTATTTGACAGCTTAGCACTGCAGGGGTTCTCTGGAGTCTCCCCTAAAAAGAAAGCTTACGAAGCAGTGTCTGACACCCTGAATCGCATCCTGAGCGAGCAGGCGAGGAGTTTACAGCAGCCTCCTGTTTCAAGTGCAGACAATCTGAACGTCACACAGAGCTCCTCCGTGGATCCCTCTGCCTCTTCTCCAAGAAGAGGGGAGGCTGTGGGCAGCGCTCCCATTGAGAAGAATAACACAGGGTCTGCGGCGAGACCTTCTGCCTCACCCTACGGCAGGTCTCAGAGTCACTCCTCGATTAACACGGTCATGTCAGTACAGAAAGATCAGCAAACAGAAACGCCTGCAGAAAACAAGAACAGCCATTCTCAAGATGATGTCGATCACCAGCAGAGTGCCGCCATCCAACCCTCGCCTTTCATGAGCCTCGGTCAGTTCAGTGACGTGTCACCTGATCTAGACTCGACACTCTCAAGTGGCTACAACTATGAAATTAAATTAGAAACGTCCATCGGAGCTTCTTCTGTTGTCAGCCTGGAGGTCGATAACTACGCCCCATATTGGACTTCCAAACTATCAACACCTCCACCTCCACCCAGGCCTCGAGAGTTCAACATTGAAGAAAGAATACCGGTAAGAGAAAAGTTTAAAATAGTTTATTAATAAAGACAGATATTAGATTCAATCACAACACAAAGATGTAGTAGTTCATGTAGTTCATGTAGTTTATTTATGTGTCTGATGTGTTTCTATATTTGTTTGTTTTCAGTTGTATCTCCATAACCTGGGTATTGACCAGTCTCCCTCCACAATCTTAACTCCGTTTGCACCCAAAGGGCCAATCAGAGAGCCTGAATTCTCCCCCACTGATCTCAGTACGATAAAAGGATCTATTGGAACCCCCACCAAGAGCACGCAGCCCTCTGAAGGTACTCGACCACTTTATGAAACTAAAATAAATAAAATGTACTGCAACATTTTACCTGAACCTTTACACCGACACATGTTTTAAACTGGAATTCTCAAGATACCAGATTTTAAAACTTCAATATAGTAAAAATCAAACGATATTGATATCTGTCTCGTTACCACGGCAACAAAAGAAGGACTCCTGGGCATCCAAAACTGGTTCATTTCGTATTTTAGTTTTCCAGCTAGTACAAAAGAAAGTGTCACTGAAAACAGATCGAATTTAAACACACTGTTAATAGCAATGAAAGGAAAAATAAAAGAGCTTTTCCTATAAAATAATGAATAACGAATACAACACATTTCCTCTGAATCATCACTGGTGTCTGTTTTTTAAAATGTTCTTATTCAGGATATTTTGTGGGCGTCAGTGTTTGTTAAATGATGTAGAGCTCACAGTCCACAGGTTGGGACCATGTGACAGTACTGTCTCTCTGCTCTCTGCTTTATGAGATGCTAAAAGGACTTAACAAAATGTCAGTATTTACAGAGTGGTGAATAAAACAGTAAGTGGTGAAGGGGCTGTGATGGAGGGCGGAAAAAAGACATACACAGAGGGCAGAAAGGAGCAAGACTTCAGCAGCAATCAAACAAAATCCTGCACCTACCTGCACGTTTGTGCCGAGGTGTGGAAGTGTTTCTAAGTCCTTTAGAGTGAAAACGATGTGACAATAACATCTTATTTCTATATCAGCTCTTTGTTGTCAGTAGTGGCGCTCGCTCTTTCTATTCTCTCTCTCTCTCTCTCTCTCTCTCTCTCTCTCTCTCTCTCTCTCTCTCTCTCTCTCTCTCTCTCTCTCTCTCTCTCTCTCTCTCTCTCTCTCTCTCTCTCTCTCTCTCTCTCTCTCTCTCACACTGAGGTGCCCTTGAGCAGGGCACAGAACCCCCTAATGTGGTTATTGATCTTCTCACTGTATTTGCAGGTGGCAGTCCTCGGAAAGGAGAGTTTTCAAGGTGCAGCGTTCTGTCAGTGGACTCCAGTGTGTCCATACCTTTCAGCCTGGACAGTCTCGGTCCAGCTGTTTCTATCCAAGAGCGACCCAGACGGGCTTCTCCTTCATCAGTTACAGAAGCTGTGCAGAGTGAACAAAGACGGGCTACGTCCTCTGAGCCTGAAGAAGACACTGATCCCTCCACGCTGCAGACCGCCCTGCAGCAGCAGAGAGGCAGCAGCTTCAGCAGCAGCCAGAATACCATCCGGTCAACTTTGCAAACGAGCCGCAGTCTAGAGGAGACCGCAGAAGACTCTTTTGTCAGCTCCAGGACCCTGTTTGAGATACGTAAACTCCTCTCTCAGGCGGAGAATGTGGTATCTGCCGGGTCTTCTGTGGCGTCCTCAGCCTCCCCTGCGGCCCCCCGTCTGCCCCCTGATAACGACATATTCCTGTCTCTGAGGAAGACAGCCAGCGGGCCTCAGGAGTCCTCATTCTCCTCTTGGGCTGCTGAAGATCCCAGAACTCAGTCCTCCACGCTGTGGGCAAGATCCTCATCCGACCCCCTGCTGACTTCAGATAAAGTGAGAGAGCGCTCCATTGGTCGAGAGAGCATGACATCATCATCGCAGACAAATTTTCCAGCAACAGGTGCACACAGAAGGCAACAAGATAACATTGTTAGTGGAGATGCCGGGCTGTCCTTTGTCCTCTCCCAGTCAGCACGGCGGTCAGAGCCTGAGGGCTGCAGTGCTGCACCTCCTGATAACACCGTCCCTCCACAGCAACCAATCACCAAGCCTTCACCAGAGCTGAGTGCAACACAGCTCACGTCTACTCCTGCTGCAGACACGGCAGCTGTGACAGAGGAGGAAACTCAGACTACTCCTCCGAGTCCTGTGCAAAGCAGCTCCTCCTCAACCGTCCCCGAGGATCAGAGCGTGATGAGTGTTGGGAGCAGTGAGAGCTCGCTGGCTGTCAGAGTGGCCAAGTTACTGCAGAATGAGTCTCCATCCACCATGGTGTCCAGTACAGCCAGCACTACTGACCAAGAGGAGAGACAAGCTAGAGGTAAGAGGATTATGTAATTCATCATCAACTCTCTAACAATAAATGTGCTTTTTGTGACTCTCTCACTACGGATGAACGCAGATAAAACGTCTGATTCTTGATATTTTTTTATCAACTTTAACACCTGTTCTTACATCTGAAGTCTGTGAGTCTGTGAGTCTGTGCCCAGAGATCTGCAGACCGAGCCAAACATTAGTGATCACGCTGAGAGGCTGAACTGTCATCAGGTGATAGGGCTATGGCCTTCTGGGATTAGAGTTGCAAGAATAAAAATGTAACATCTGCATTCTGTGTTGCAGAATGGATCAAGCTGAAGATATCCGGACAGCAGTGCGAGCCTCTGGAGTTAGACAAAGAAGACAGACGACGGATCGAAGAGATCAAGAGAGAGCTGCTGTTAAAAGATCCAATCAAGGTAAGCGTCTGACGCACAGCGGTTTATTATCATACTTCACACAGCACTAAAAAAAACTTAATTTGTAGCTGTCTACTTTAATTCACTGCCTTTTTTAAATGCTGTAAATTGACTTTTTATTTCTTCCAATGTTTTGATAAAATTCATTAAAGAGACACGCTTCTGGACTGTTCAGATCTCATGCTTAAGGTAACCGGTGTGTTGCAGGCTTGCTGTGTCAAAAGAACAGATTAATGAATTAATGATTTAATTTAAAGAATGATGTAAACAAGGATTGTGTTTAATTTCCTCTTTCAGAGTCCTAGGAGCACAGATACTGAGAGCAGTGCAGCGTCCAGTGTCAGAATGCCAAAGTTTCCATCACAGCAGGTGGAGACGTTAACTTCCACGGCTGATGCTAACAAACGACCATCGCAGCCGCAGCTCGACCTCAGCACAGACCTCTCTGCCTCCAACATTCACCTGCACACCCCCCTTCCATCAAATCTAGAGGCTCAGGTTCGCGAGATAGCTGCCAGAGAAGGGGTGACCCTCCCGAAGACAAACCCTGTGGCCCTCACGTCGATCACAATCGCCACCCGCAAGCGCTCCACCTCCTCCTCGCCATCCACGTCGCCCGCACCTCCCGTCAGTCCAGCGCCAGAGATGCTCCATCTGAACGAGCTCTCCACAGAAGCAGTGCAACATGCTACGGCTAACATCCAGCTTCCCCACGGGCGGAAGAAGACGGTGCGACCAGGAATCTAAATCTGATTCTTCAGTCAGCACAGGGGAGTAAGAAGAGGCAGGACACTGTTGGAGGCCACGTTGAAGAAGCTCCTCCCCCCCTACAGGAGTTACAAACAGAGGATTTAAATGCCAAAGATAAAACACAACTTCACAGGCCAAAAGAATCTGGAGCTGCTCCAGAACCTGGATCATCAACAGGTTCATCCACCTCTGATGTACCTCCCAGGAAAGGCCACATATCGCATGTCCACCTCACTCTGTCCCCCAAAGCCTCCAATCACAGCGCAGCCACCGCTGTCCACTCTGGTCCACAGCGCTGCCACATGAGGAATTCATCCCCTCAGACGCTCTCATTCTGCCGCCAGCAGTCCAGACGAAGGCGTCGGTTTGTCCAGTCCACCAGAGTGGTACGACAGCAGAGACGCGGGGAGACCGAGAGTCACCTCCGCCCTCTTCAAACCCGCCGGGTCTCAGAGAAAGACGAGCACCACATCAACACAGTCCTTTAAACCACATCAGGGGGTCATGGTGTCAATAAGCCCCTCAACAACTGAAACACCAGGTACGCTTACATCAAATAACCACAACAGTAAGATGAGAGAGACCTTTCTTTGGCTGCTTTTTCTTAGCTTTAGAGTGCAGTTAAGTAAAAAAAGAAAACCCAACGGTTCCCCATGCTTTTTATTCAAAGATAAAAAATGGCAGAGCTTAAACTAGAGATTATTTTAGATGTGAGGAAAATCCACAGATAATGATTGTGTGACAGAAGAAGTATAATGTTTCAAACTTCATCCTTAGCTAGAAGTAAGAAATGAAGTGAACATGGGTGTATTCATTTTCTGTGATAAAGATGAAGATGGCTGTCTGTTTCTCTCCCCCTCTCCTCTTCCAGCTGTGCCTGTTCTGTTGCCTTATAAACCCTGCGGCAGTGAGGAGCTCTTCTACGTCCCCCAAAGGAAAGCGGACTTCTCCTCCACAGACCGCTCTGACACCACCATGGAGAGCTCCCACACAGGTACTCATGTCTTCAGAAATGTTGAATACTTTTCGCTACCACAGGTTAAAAAAAACAACAAAAAAAACAATCTCTTTTATTTCTTCCTTCAAAAAATGTAAAAATGCAAAAATTAGAAATTGTCCAGCAGTAGTGAAAGATCAAATGCAGTTAATT